TAAAATGATACAAAGTAAAGCAAGCAGAGCCAAGAAAACATAACTACAATATAAATGGGAAAAAGCAACAACCCCATAACAATAGAAAATGAATGTTACAAATTCACAAAGAATTAATGTGGCCCCAAAGAAAAAACATGGGAAGACACCTATTCCAATCCCTTTCAGAAGTGAGGGGTCAAAAAAAAAAGTGAGGGGTACATGACCATGGAATTATATTATCAGATATATTATACATATATATGTGTGTGTGTGTGTGTGTGTGTGTGTGTGTGTGTATATATATATATATATGTACATATATATATATATATAAAAATCATATATTATCAGATAGATAAGATAGGTAGGTAGGTAAGTAGAGGGAGTTGTGCATATATTATACATACATATATAATTACATAAAACATAATTATGCAATTATATCTATATCATATATGATGGGTTTTGCTGATTTCTCCTTTTTTTTCTTTAAAGTAATGCCTTGTTACATGGAATGCCTGCACAGAAAAATATAGGGACACATTTAAGTGATATAAAAACAATAGATAAAGAAAAAATTTTTTTTAACAAAAGAAAGGTCTGGTATTAGTCTAACCTCAGAGTCAGTGCTTTACACAGTAGGGATTTAATAAATATCCTCTGAATAGAACTGCAAGAGAGGTTCACATAGCCAAGAGAACAAAAACAAGCCATACTGATATTCAGTTTCACTCTCACTCCTTTCTACCAAGGCCCTGTGGGTTGAGTGTGAAACTGAATTCTACTTTTGCTAAGAACAGCGTCCCACACAGAAGCTGAAAATGAAGACAACTTATTTCAATTTAGTTCAGTCACAACAGTACCAAGGATGGAGAAGAGGAAGGCAGAATGATAACAAGGCACAGAGGAACCAAAGAAAAAAAAACCTGAGAAAACAGACCAAAGTATTAACAAATTAACAAATTAAGAGGGGAGTCTGGGTTCCTAAACAAATGGGATCTACTGAATGACTTTAGTTTGATGCTCAACAAACAAACAGAATTGGCTACCTACAATCAGTACAATCCCAGTCCTGGAACCAAGAGGTATTTTTTAAAGTCCTATCCAGAAAAGAATGAGATGAAAACAAACTGGTTTCTACCTTGATTTGCCTTCAAACATTCACATATAACAGAATGTCAGGGATAGAAGAGAATATCCTCATTTTGTAGTTGACAAATAAGGTGAAAGGATCTCTCCTAAGCCACACAGCAAACCTGCTGTAGACCTAGGTCTCTTGAATGTTTTCACCACACAGGCTTCTTCTTATGAAATATTAAAAGATAAGTGACTTCAACTTGTGTCACTGGAAAATATTCACAAAGATATATACTATTATAAGTATTAATACCCTAAACTAGGTAGTGTTATCATACCTTTACTTAAAAGATAGGATGGAAGACAAGTAACAGCTAAATGACTGGCTACAGAAATTATCAAAATAGGCATCAGTAATCCAAAATTCCCCAGTCCCAAATTTGGAAATGAACATCAGCTGCTACTGCAAGTCTTCTAAATTCTCCTTGAGCCTGCTCACAAACACAATTGAGGGGGAAGGGCAAAAAGGGAGGGAAGGACATTGCAGGAAATGTATCACTCCCTGAATTAGTAACTGTAAACAGTCAATCAAACAAGTTACTAATCATTAACAAGGAGGTTTGTTATCAAAGAAACAATGATAATATCAATAAGACCACAAAAAGAAACTTTGTAAAGAGTTTTGTAGAGAATTCTGTCCTGAGAGTACTGAATTAAATTGGAATGCATTAATCTTTAACTTTGGAGGAATTTAAAAGTCAGGATCAGTTCTACTGCAGAGTATAAATTAAAAGCCATAAGTAACAGATCCACTACATTGTGAATTTAAAGTGAATTTCACAAAAAATCCATACCATCAAGGTTTAGCAAGTCCCCATAAATATGAATTTGTAAGAAACAATGCCCTTTTTCCTCAGTTTCTCTTGTTCTGTAATTATTTACATATATGTAGTATCTTCCCCAGCACAGCGTATCGCTCCTTGCAGGAAAGACTTTCATTTTTATCTATCTTATTTTATCTATCTACCCTAAATATAGTGCCTTGCTCATTTAATGTTTGTTGAACTGAAGGCCTAGAAAATGGTATTTTCACTTAGAAATTTCATTGTACTTAGTGCTTCCAATGTGAATTCCTTGAAAAACATTGTATTTAGTGCTTCCAATGTCAATTCCTTCAAAACCATATTTCTTTCTTCTTGTTTCACTTAGATCTTGTACACCTGAATTGAAATTTCCATCTATAACATGAAAATACTACCCAGGGTAAGTGAATAACATCTCAAATTTCCACAGTACTTCAAAGTTTTCAAAGCAATTTCAAATACTTTGCCTCATCTGATCCTCATAATAACTGTGAGGTCAGCAGAGGTCATCCTCCCAATTTTACACCTATGGATTTTACGCCTAGGCTCAGAGGCCCTAGGTGATTTGCCAATGTCCCACACCAAGAGGCAGCACCAGGTCTTAAACCTGGGTTTCCTGTTCTTTGTTATCGCAACTGCATAGACATCAAAAAGCTAAAGTTATTCTTTAAGCTTCTAAATATGTAGAGGCAACATAGTGTTCAGGAATAGAGGACTGGACTTGGTGTCAGAAAAACTTGCTATTGAGTCAAACATAAGACATACTGGATGAATGGGCAAATCATTAAACATCTTAGAGCTACAGAAAATTCTCCAAAATGGTAAATTATGGAGCTCCAGTCCCAGGATTCAGCCCATTTGACTGGTGACTGAGTTTGTGAAAACTAGCCCACTTAACCCAGTATATTTACATGCTGGCCCTAGGCACCAAACAATGCTTTAGCTTCATATCCTATTCAGCCATCCACTCAAGCCATCTTACCATCTATCAGCCACTGAGAGTATACCCTCATCTATCCCAGAACAAGACTTATTATTATCCCTTATTAGAGTTCTCTATTAAAATGTAAGCTCTTTGAGGTCAGATATTATCTTTTTTAAAAAAATATTTGTATCTCCAGCACTGTGTGCCAGGATAGTGCCTGGCACACAGTAAACATCTAAAATGCTTTTTCACTCATGCATGCATGCATTTATCTGAATTCAGTTGAATCTGAACTGAAGGCAATTCCTCACTGATTAAATTACAAGTACTGATTTATTTTAAAAGTTTAACACATTTATTTCTCCAACAGGACAATGTGTAAAATTTAGCTAGTCTGTTCTAAAACAAACTAATGTAGAAAATTCTATATAATCTAAGCATATTTCACTTAAAAGTTTTCCTGAACTGTACACATTACCATTCTGAAAAAATATGAACCTTTGGTACCATCAAAGACCATATATGATTCTAACATTTTAGTATTCAGGTAACACTATCAACTGTAGGTCTATTAAAAATACTTGTTAAACCCCTAATAGGTTTAAGGAGCCTGGATTGCTGGAGTAACTCAGATTGGTGGAATAAGAAAACGGCATCATATTAGGAGGTTAATAACTTCCACCTTTAAAACTATCCCAGGAGAATGCTGATTCAAGTTTCTATTTCAAATTATTACCTTGGCCCATGATATCACAAAATAATATAATCTGAACGAAACTGCTAGATATAGTTGTAATTAAATGGCTAGAGCTTGACAAAAAGGCATTGGTAAGATTTTATTTTTTCTGTTGAAAGATACCACGATTCATGCAGGCATGGGAAAAAGGAAAAATACATGAATAAACTACTCTCCCTCTCCAACCTTCCCCTCCCTACCACAAAAAAAAGACCCAAAACCACCTCTCCCCATCCCCCACCCCCAGCCTGCCTCCCTCAAAAAAAAATATCTGTGTATATCCAGGACAGAAAAGAATTTCTAGGCAACAAGAGTGTAATATCTACCCAGAAATCTCAGGGTTAGAGATAAACTCCCAACGACAATGTTAAGACTGAGGATGCCCTCCAATTGAACTGCAGGGGGATTGTGAGGGAAAGAAGGTGAGGCTGGAATTCAAATTGTCGGGAAAAGCTTCCATTCCAGAGATCTCCTTCCACTGCCTCACTGGATTGCTGGTTGGAGGCATATAAGCACCAGGTCACTACAAAAACCTGGCTCTGGGGGAAAGCTTGGCATAAGTTACTCCCGGGCCCACGCAGACAAAAGTGCAAAGCCCCAATCTGGCCCCCAGAGTGTCAGAGAACTGACCGGGGACGCCTGAATCCCTGAAACTCTGACCTCCCCCCCCCCGCCCCGCAGGAGAAAGCGGGCTACTTAACCCCAAGACCAGCAGAAGATAAGTACGTCCAGGGACCCAAATCCCCCTCAAGGAGAGACTGGCAGGAATCCCTCCCACTTGACCCGGGGTTCCCCCACCCCCATCCTGTTTATACTTCTTCCCCTCCCCCCCAAAAAAGTGAAGGAAGAAAACCTGGGAAGAACGCACGCCTGTTACTGACGGAACTGGGGGCCCTCAAGTCTCCTCCCGGATGCCCACACACCTCCGGACTTTGCGGGGCGGAAACGGAGTCTGTCACCACCTGGGTATCCCCCAGACCCCAGTTACACAAAAGGTAAGGAATGCCACAATGGCCTGTTATCGGGAATACACAAACCACACACACCACACACGGGAACTCACACACAACACACACATCATATACACCACACAAGAGCATGCACACACACACACATCACATACACACGGGCTACACACACAACACACCACATACAGGCGGACACGGACATGCAACACAACACCCACACACTCCACATATACGACACAGAAGGGCACGCACACACCATACACACGGGCACAGACATACAACACGCACACCCCGGCTCCCCGCTCTCCCGAGCACAATCCCCTCACGCCGGAGCCACTCGGCCTCATACTGGAGCAGGTCCCGCCGCCCTCTGCCGGGCCTCTGGACCGTCAAGCCCCAGGTCCGAGGCCCGAGACCCGAGTCCGCCCGGGCCCCCCCCCCCGGCTCACCTGCGCTCCGCGGCGGCTCCTCCCGCGGTCCCCCGCTGCCTGGCTCTCCCGGCCCGGAGCCCGGATGGGCTGAATGGCTGGCTGGTCGGAGACCCCCTCCAGCCACTGTGACACTTCCCGCGGCCCCAGCAGCGGCAGCTCCCGCCGCCGACTCCTCCTTTCGGACGCAGGCCCCCAGTGGATGAGGGGGCAGGGGCCGAGGCTCGACAACACGGGCGCCGCCGCCGCCGGTTCCCTTCTCTCCTCCGCACCTCCCGGAGAAAATGTCACCAGAGGCCGTTCCGCTCCGTTCCGCGCCTCACTTCCGCCCGGAACCACCGAGATTCCGCCGGGCAGCTAGAGCGACTACTGCACCAGGGGTCCCTGGGGGAGGGAGGGAAGAAGGAAGCAAAGGGGAGGCCGTGAAAGCGTCACAGCGCCCCCTCCAGGACCAAGTGCGATGATCCTCCCGCTGCAGAGCCTGGCGCGCGCTAACCTCAGCAACTCTTGCCCTCACCTCTCCCTCCTGGGTGTCCTCCGCTCTAACTTGCTCTAGATTCGGAGGGGAAATTACTCCGGTCTTCCGGACTTTACAGAAAATTTAACTCTTCCACGAAGGCTCCCCTGATTTACCCAATCAAACTGGGATCTATTCAATAACTCCAGCCAGCAGGGACACCCCATTCTCCCGCCACCCCCACCCTTATCCCGGCCCCCTCCCACACGCATAAAATTCTAAGTAGTAGCCAACCAGTTATATTTATAAATTCTATATAAACACTAAGGGCACGTTTTATGAATGAACACCTGGTTAATCGTTACAGGATCACCTACTGGTGTAAATTAAGAAGTGTAAAACAAAACTAGTTCTTATTGCTGATTCCTAAAATTCAATTAGAGATTCATTTTTTGATTAGAAACTTAACGCCCGTTTGAAACGCAAATTATACCCTGGGAATAATAACACACTAATACTCTACAGTGAATAAGCTTTCAGATCCTTTTTTAAGATCAGCTATTCTTTTTTGTTTGTAGGCAATTTAGGGTTAAGTAACTTGCCCAGGGTCACACAGCTAATAAGTGTCGAGTGTTTGGTCTGAGACCCGATTTGAACCTGGGTCCTCTTGACTTCAGGGCGGTGCTCTATTCACTGAGCCACCTAGCTGCCCCTGCAAGGTCAGATATTCTTGAGGGAGGGGGAAGAATACGAAGGTAATGGGCTCCTGAGGAAGTCCGATGGGACAATACGAAAGGTTCTGAGAATAAACTTCACCAGTTTCACTATTTTCCCGAGAAAATAATCTTTACAAGTTTGTCTAATAAAGGACTGGTATCCAAAATCTGTAAGAAACTTACTGAAATATACAAGAACACATCATTCTTCAAAAGATCAATGGTCAAAGGATATAAATAGGCAATTTTCAAAGGAAGAAAGCCAAGCTATCAACAACAATCTGAAAAAAAAAATAGAAATTCCAAATGATGGATAGAGAAATGCAAACTGAAACTCTAAGGCACAGCCTTATACACATCAAATTGTCAAACACGAATGTACTCTTTGAGACCTGTATATCAGCAGAGCCATTCTGGAAAGCAATTTGGAACTATGGACTTTGGAAAAGTCACTGAACTGTGCACACCATTTGAAGCAATGGTACAATACTAGGCTTAATATCCCAAAGAGGAAAAGAAAGATTATATATAAGTGGAAAATAAACATTTTCTGTGATAACTAAAAGCTAGAAACGGGGAGGAGGGGTGATCAACAATTAGGAATATGAATATAATGGAAAATACACCACAAAAATGGCAAAAGGATGCTTTCAGAGAAACCTGGAAAAATTTGTATGAACTGATGCAGAGTGAAGTCTACAGAATCAGAAGAACGATTTATACAATGACAAAAAGACTCAACAAAAATAATTTTGAAAAGAATTAAGAACCCCAATCAATGCAATGAAAAATCTCAATTCCATAAGACCAATTAATGAAGCTAGCCACTGCCTAAAAAAGAAGTGATGACTTAAGGGTCAAAAGGATACACACATTTTAAGATATGGTCAGTGTGTGGATTTGTTTTGCTTGACTATTTTTTCCTGAGATTTCTGAGTTTTTTGTTTTGTTTTGTTTTTTGGAGGGGGTGGGATTTGTTTTTGTTTCAGTGAGAGAAAATAGGATGGGGAGGACATAGGAGGACTAGCAATCATGTTGCTAAACAGAAAAGAAAGAAAAGAGGGTCATTGTGTCATTTAAAAGAAAATGAACAGAATAAAATGGAAGGAAGTTCAGAGACACAATCAGGATAACAAGGCGCCAGACTCATAGTAAGCACTTAGTAATTGCTTATTGACTAATAGCTCCGAAAGTAACATTGAATTTATTACATATTTTTTAAAATGTAAGCTGTAAGAGATTTGTGTTTCATATGCAATTCTTTTTTCTGTTTTACTTAATATGTTATTGTTTGTTGAGTGTAAACTTTTTTTAAAAAAATAAGATTTTTTTTTAAATTTCTAAGAGCCATCTCTGTATCCTTATAAAGAAAGGCAAAAAACACAGTGTTATTAAGTCTAAAGAAGAAAGGGATTGATTAGTTTTGCTGGGGGTTTTCCTCTTCTTCATCTTTTTCTTTCATTTTTTTTCCTTTAAAAATATTTGTTATATGGAATGGTTCTGTAGGAGAGAGGATACTGAAAGAAATTCTGGTAATGTAAAAACATGTATCACTAAAAAATTATTTTAAAAGAGAAAGGATCAGAAAAATATTCACAATCGTGCTGAAAGCCAGGAGAGACATTTATTCTACCACTCTAAGGTACAAGGTTGTATAAAACACATTAGACCAAGTATCAAGAGATCTAGATTCTGATACTGGCTCTGCTATTTGGAAGCAAGGTTATGAGTATACTTAATTTTACTATTCTTATTTAGAGAGTCATTTAATATGTCTGAACTTCAACTACCTTATCCGTAAAATGAGGGAATGGATTGGAGTAGATGATGTGTTTATTTTCCCAGTAACATAGGCATTGCAAAGGAGAATGTTTGGCAATTAATATAATAACCATTTATATTCACATAGAATGTTAAGGTTTACAAAGCACTTTCCTTAAAATAACCTTATGAAGTAAGGAGGACAAGTATTGTGATCTCCATTTTATGTGCAGGAAAACTGAGGCTCAGTGAGGTTCAAAGACTTGCCTGTGGTGCAGAGCTCTTTGCACCATACCCCATCTCAAACTGGACTGTACAGTTCTGTAGCAGCAGAGAATAAATGCAAGTTACTATGAATAGATACATATGCATATATACATGCATTTGTATATCATGTATACATTTGCATACATAATACATGAGTGAACAGTTTTGAAGTCAAGAAAACCTGGGTTTTAAACCTGCTTCTATCATATTAGCAGTTTGGCCATGACAAGTCACTTAATCTCTAAGTGCCCAGGGTAGCTTTCTAAGACTATAAATTGCTGAAAAGTTGCCGATCTTCATCGAATAGATGGAGAGAATTCCTTGTCCCAGGGCTAGGTTTCATATAAGGCTCCATAGTGCACAGGGTGCTGGGCCTGGAATCAGGAAGACTCATTTTCCTGAGTTCAAATCTGGCCTCAGACACTTACGAGCTGTGTGACCCTGGGCAAATCATTTAACCCTGTTTGCCTCAGTTTCCTCATCTGTCAAATGAGCTGGAGAAGGAAATGGCAAGCCACTCCAGTATCTTTGCCAAGAAAACCCCAAAAGGGGTCACTGAAAAACGAACTGAACAACAATACAGATATAGAAACAGATACATGTATATATAATGTGTGTAGATGCATACATGTGTGTTTTATGTATACATGTATGTTATATATAACATGTATGTGTGTAGTTTCGAGTGTGTATAATAATGTAACGTGCATGTATCTATAACACGTTATATTGCGCATATTATCTATATATGTATATATATACATATATATAAAACATTTATTGGACTCAGATCGTGTGCCCAATACTTCCAGGGAGTGGGGATAAAAATGAAAGGAATAGTCCCTGAAATCAAAGAGCTTAATATCTAGTTGAGGAGACAGAGTATGTATGTTAAAAGATAACAAAAATACAAAATATTATGTGAGAAGTGCCACTGATGTTGAACTTACATTCCATTACTTTTATTCAATCACAGAAAAAAGTTATTTTATCCATCTGAGCAATAAATAGTGCACAGAACTTTAAATATAAAAGAATAGTAATTGTGTGATAGGACTTTGAGAACTGGCTAGCATCTTGGGATTTGTAGTTTAAAGGGACAACCATTCTCAACCCTTAGAACAATTTGAAAGTATTTCAGTCTTTGAGCTAGAAGGTGGAATTGAGTCATGCCCTAGAATTCCTAAAAGGATACACAGAGTCTTTGAAAAAGTCCAAGAGGAAAAAAGGAAGACCTGAAGAGCTGAGCAGCAGGAATAATGTAGGTAAGGAAGCCTCTTCAGCTCCAGACAGAATTTAATAAGATGAGCAGGAAACACTGACACGGGTCGGGGTAGCAGAGTTGGGGGTTGGGGGGAATAGGGAGGAGAAGGGAGAGTAGGAGGTGGCGGGGGAGCTGGAGGGGGGGAGGGAGGGTAGGCTGCGTGGGGGGGACCGCGGGGGCGGACTGCAACTGGAAAAGGGGAAATTGAAACGAGAGCCATCCTCCACCTTCTACAGTCATCTCGAAGCGGAAGACTAGGGCTGAAGCCACCAGTTGTACGTCAAGGACTTAAGGGCAGGTCCAACAAAATGTTCTGCTCTTTTTCCCAACTTCCCCTCCCTATATCTATTCAGTAACAGAGATAAGAGGCAAACCTCTGTCTGAATATTAGGAATTTGATTTTTTAAAAATTAGTAATTGTCATAACAGACGTGGCTGATTACATCTTTAGGGACGATACAGGTAGAAAAGAAACGGCAATGAAGAATTTTGTCTTCCAACTGTGCACTCCACAGCAGCACCCACAACCACTAATTTTAAAGGATAGTGACTTGTCCAAAACCCATTTCTGTCTAATACTAAGGAAAAAGAAAAAGAGTGAAACAACAACAATAATAGCTGAGTGGTATGTTGTACTTCACTGTTCACAAAAGGCTTTACACTCGCTGCCCTGCCTCGTTTAGTCTTCACAAAAGCCCTATGAAAGAAGTCATGCAAGTATTATTACTCCAGTTTTACAAATGGGGAAATTGGAGCTTAGAAAGGCTGAAAGATTGATGATAGGTCAGAAACCTGTTAATCAAAGAACCAGGACCAAATCCAAGATTTTT